GAGGGGGAGGGGAGGAGTGCTTTCAAAAAATTTCTATTACAGATGACTTTGGCAGCGTTTACACTGTACCGTTTTCGTAGCGTTCTCGTATTGTTTGAGAGAACTAGACTATTGTCTTGCGTTCCCTTGAGGATTAAGAACAATACGAGAACGCTACGAAAACGGTACAGTGTAAACGCTGCCTTTATCGTAACTGTCCCTCCGAGAAAAAAATTCAAATAATCTAGTTTGCTCTGTACTAAGAAGGGTGAGGGGGTTAGGGTGGAGATGGCGTGAGGGTCAGATTATCACTGTGTCTGTATGATGATGTACATCATACAAACGAAGAGAATGGGTTGATCTTGGAAATTATTGGTCAGGCCCCCCAACCCGCTTCCGACGGCCCTGATATATACTAAATCAATATAAAAGACCTAGAAACACAATTTCTCTAATTAACAATTTCAACAAGAAGTAAGATATACAAATGTAAGATCCAACCATACACATTAAACAACACAACACAAAAAGTAAAAACAATCATTCATTCCAACTCTGTGATAAAAGATGCTTTCTACGTGTTTCTTAATGAAGCTGAAGCTTACACGTTACGCTGTCATAAACAATAACAAGCTCTATAGACACAATAACAATCGTAGTCGTAGAAGCAGCGCAGTTTGCAAAAAATATTTTAGTTAATTAATTAAAGGCAAATACAGTTAATGACACACTTACAACATGGGTACAATATGGGTACAATATGAGTACAACATCGGTACAACATTGATTGGTACAACATGGGTACCGGTTATAGAAATATTAGACCTACCTATTATTGTCTATTATTTCTATGAAATATTGTCTATTATTTCTATGGTACCGGTGCATGTAAAAATAACTTTCTCAACTAATTGAAATTATTCCGTAATAACAGGACAGACTCTCATATTTTATGACATGAACTTGTTTAAAGGACATTGACAGTAAGAATGTAGTTTGTCTCATTTGAAAGAACTTTTAAAATTATAAGACTGAATTAATAAAGACTTAATAAATTAAGGCTATCCCCACACTTGACGTCATCAAAACAATAGTTAATGAAGTTAATAATTAATCCACGCCAAGCTTAAGATGGAATTAAGATCATTGCTTTCAGTGAAATAAGTTTGATATGAAAAATCTGCAACAAAACTTAATACATAATTTTAAACGCGACTTTATATGAGACAAACTAAATTTTTAGTTCCAATCATAGTTAATAGATTAGATGGTTTCGAAACTCATTAGAATAACAATATAACTCATCTATGTTAGTCAACGTTTATTCATAAATCTGGTCCTTCACAGTCACGTGTGTATTGTATTTTTACCAAATCCACCAATAGCAATTTTCCGATTCACCCTATTGTTCGAGTCATAGATAGGTAACTTTCCTAAAACATTGCTATTGGTTAGTTGGGCAAAAATACAATAGGAACGTTGACCAACATAGATAATGGGTTATATTGTTATTCTAATGAGTTTCCAATGTCCTCATCTTATACTATGTTCCAATGTCCTCAGGGGCGGCGCTACAGGGTGTGTGTGGAACACTCCCCCCCCCCCCCCCCC